GGTTGGCGGGCCCGGTCGCATGTTGGCGGGTACACTCTTGCGCTGCGGGGGCGTGGGCGGGCGGGGGAGGGAGGGGGAGGGATAGGGCGGGGGCGGGGGAGAGGGTGTTGAGCGGCGCACATGCAGTCTTCGAGCAGCGTCTTTGCATCCGCTTCGGTGAGCGTCGGCGTCCAGCGCTTGCGCAGCAGCGGCAGCGCCAGGTGCGCTCCGATCCCCGAGGCCACAAAGTTGTCCTCGAAGGCGACGCCGAGCATCGTCGACGCGCCGAGGTACGGCTTCCCGTCGCGGCAGCCTGCGACGACCACGGAATTCCAGAGCGGGTCCATCTTGGAGCGCCGCTGGTACATCATACGCGTCAGCCAAGAGTGCAGCGCCGCGGGTGACATCGCCGCGCCGTCGTCCAGGGCGTACTCCTCGACGGCGCGCGCCTCGACGGTCTTGACGATGTACTGGTAGTCCGACAGGTCGCCGCCCGCCGCGACCAGCGTGTCCTTCCGCACGCCCACCGCCTCCATCCGGCGGATCTTGTCGTACCGCGCGAGCGAGCCGTAAAAGCCGAGGGTGTCCGCCGCGACGAGGACGCCTCCGGCGTACTTGACGGCGACGACGCTCCCGCCCGTCACCATCGGGTACAGCGTGCGCTGGCTCGCCTCCGGACCCGCCTCCTTTGCCGCGTACGGCTCGTCGGTGAGCCCGGCGTGCTCCGCCCACGTCGCGCCGTGCACCCGGTTTGCCATGCTCGCTGCGCCTCGACCGCACGGCGTGTGCCTACGGCGTGACCGGCCGGCGTGAGCGGAGTGCTGCACGCACGGTCGGGGGTGGTGGGATGGCAGGCACTGAGGTGAGTTCGGCTCGCTAACCCGGGTCGAGACAGCGGGGTGTTTTTAAAGAAAAACGGCGACAACCGACTGCACTCCAAGTGCTCCAAGGGGTTTTTAAAGAAAGACGCGGCTCGGGCGAGAGATGGCCACCGTCCTACCTTGTACGTGTGTACGCGCGCGTCAGCACGAGACGAGCTGCACGATCTTGAACTTCTCCGCCGCTCCCGAGGGTGCCGCCAGCAGCCGCGCCTCGAGTACGTGCGTCGCGTTCGGCAGCAGCCCGGGAACGTGGTGCGTGTTGTACGAGATGGTCGTGTCGTGCCCCGGCGTCGTGCCGAACCAGAGCACGTCCGACTGCGAGGCGCGGTCGACCCAGTGCGCGTCGACGACGACGGTGTAGCCGATGGCCGGGAGGCGCAGCTCGATGCGGCCCACCTTCTCGTAGCTGCGCAAGTAGGTGAGTGCGAAGCGCGGCGCCGCACCGAAGCGCAGCTCGAAGCCGACCGTCGCGCCGCGCTCGGTCGCGATCCACCCAAACTTGCTCGGCCGGTCAGCGTAGTAGCGCCAGCCGTGCGCGAAGCGCGGAGTGCCGCCCGCCGCGCCAACGGATGGAGTTCTGCCGCCTGCGCCGCCGCCTGCGCCGCCATCTGCGCCGCCACCTGCGCCGCCACCTGCGCCGCCACCTGCGCCGCCACCTGCGCCGCCGTGGCTGTCGCTGCGGCCCGCCTCCGCGCTCGAATACACGCTGAGAGGCGCGGTGCACACGTCAAAGTGCGCGAGGTCCGACGCGCGCCAGAGCGGCGCCGGTGGCCACCACCATCCCGCCGCCGCGCCGCCGGCCGCGGGCGGCGCGGCGTGGCCGCCCGTGCGTGGCCGCTGCCCGGCCGCGCCGCCGCCGGCCGCGTCGCCGCCGATGCCGCCGCCGCGCCGGCACGCGCGCCGCGCGGCGCGTGCCCAGAGCGCGACGAGTTGGTCGGCAATCATCTGGTGCGTCAGCCACGACGGGTGGTTGATGTCAGTGGCCGTGGTGCCCGCAATGGGCCCGGCGCGCCACAGCGCGGGCTCGTCCGCCGCGGCGGACTTCCAGTCGAGCGTCGCGACCTTGTAGTGCTCGAGCACCGGCCGCTTCGCCCGCTGCACCTCGTCGCCCAAGCCTGGCGCGGCCGCCTCGACGACGAGCACCGTTGCTGTGGGCGCGAGCGCGCGCGCCGTGCGCAGCAGCGCCTCGAGCGCCTGCGACGCTTGCGTGCTGCCGCTCCGCCACGCGTCTTTCACCAGCGAGTCGAGGAGGATCAGGTCGGTGCGCTCGCGCAGCACGATGCCAAGCGTGGAGAGTATGTGCACCACGCTGTTGCCGCCACTCGCCAGGTTGTCGTGCGTGATGGTGGCCGACGGGAAAGCGCCGCGCAGCGCGTGCACGAGCCGCGCGGGCCACGAGCATGCACGGTAGCTCTCGCCGCTCGGCCTGAAGCAATTGTTGCCGTAGGGCACACTGCCGCCGAGTGTGATTACCCTCGCGCTGTGGCCCGCGGCCAAACGCTGCGAGAGCGCGACGAGAGACTCGAAGTATCGGCCGTGCTCAACGCCTGCGTGCAAGGAGACATTGCTAAACGCCAGCGCTGAGCAGGCAGCGTCGAGCGGCCGCAGCCGTCGTCGCATGCGACACGCAGGAGTCCATATGTGGCGGGTTTTCGCAGCGTTTTTCTCGCAGGAAGGCATTTTTTTGAGAGCGCCTTCGTTGTGAATACATGTAATTCTTTTTTGAGAGCGCCTTCGTTGTTAATAGTACAAACCCAATGGTCCCTTGCGAGCGGTCCGTCGTTGCAGTCGCACACACTCACACGCCACGCCTCACCGCGCGCCCACCCACTGCCCCGCCCAGGCGGGAAAGAGATGAGGAGATGGGACACAGCAAAGGAGGAGCCTCAAACACGTATGGGAGGGTTCAGTTGTGCGCCACGCTGCCCGGCGTTTCTCACTTTCCGGGACAGCCCCGCCCTTTTGAGGCAGGAGAGTGACGGCTACCCCGTACGCCCTGTCGCTCTACCCCGACGCCGACCGCCCATCCCCCCTCCTCGTTCCCCCCTCGAATTCTCCGGACCCCGACATGCCGCCCGACGTTGGGCCTCTGCCCCGCACGCCCCCGCCCATCCTGCCCCTCGCTCACACCCCAGCCCGACACGCACATATAAGACAAACCCGGCGTCCTGCTCTCAAAAGAAAAGAAAAAATGCAAAAGAGGAGACCAGCGCGCAGCGGGGGAAACTCCCCGCCTATGCAACACCCCAGAGAGGGGCCGCCATCGCCGAAGCTGTGCCTAAGCATAACTCCCAAACCCGCAGCGGCCCGGGGGGCCTTGGGGGCAGCCTGCCGGACCGCTGTTGCACGGGGCTAAGCACCAGAAGATGAGTGGAGTCGATGGATCGGGCTGTCGACCGTGCCTCCCCTCTTTTCGTCAGAGTGGGACCTACGCCGCGCCGGGTAAGGGGCGCGCCCGGTCCTCGACGGAGCCGCGCGCCCCGAACGACCCAGGCGACGAGTACGAGTGCGTGTCACGTTTGACTCTCTTCGCGTGACTTCGAGAGAGACGCCTCGAGTGGCGGCACGCCCGCCTCCGTTGGCCACTCCTACGCCTTTGGTAACACCGAAGAGAAGGCCCGCCGCCTAAACATGGGCTGCAAGGCGCGCGGGCAGCCCGGCCAACCCTTCTCCCACAAGACCGGCCACGGCTACGTCAAGGCGCATCGCGGTTTCTACCACGACGCGATCTTTGTCAAGCGCAACAACTTCAACCAGCTGCTCCACGAGACGTTCGGCGGCGGCTTCTCGCCCACCGCCGTTCTCAAGCTGCGCCGCCTCGCGCGCAAAGTCGCGCGCGGCAGCGTCGACCGCACGGCCTACTCGCCCAAGTACTCGCTCTCTTTTATGTCCCACCATGCAGAGCGCATCTCTCTCTCTGTTGTGCGAGGCGTGAACCGCGCCATTCGCTCTCACCTGGCAACCCTGTCTGCACGTCTCGCGCGCGCGTGAACAGGGCTCCAGGCCCCAAATGACGTGTGTGTGAGTGTTAGATTTGTTTGACTTCGTGATGAGGTGCTAGCTTCCTTAACCGTGCTCCCCCACATAGGGGTGTAGTACTTCCCTACCGCAGACCACAGACACTTCAAATCGATGTGTAGTGCGATGTAATCCAAACGTAACTTCACACCTGAGCAACTGTTCACGCATCCGACCCGCACACCCCAACGCATTACTGTCTGTGTGTGTGCATGGACCTCAACAGTTTGCCCGCGGACCTTCTGGCCTTTGTGCTGGCTAGTCTGGACTGCAGAACAGAGCTTGCCTGTGCCGAGTGTGTGTGCAAGCTCTGGCAGGGCCTGGTCGATGAGGCCATCACTCGCCACAACACTCGGCTGCCAAGAGCTGACCTCCACTGGCTGCCCCGCAACCACGGAGTGCGCCTTCAGTACGCTGCGAGGCTCAGCCAAATGTGGCATGCGCGGTCAAGATTCACAGGCCCGAGTGCAGCGGCCGGGGGGGCTGGGCTGTCTACGTCGCTAGCGTGGTTGGCCGCAAATGTGTTCACGAGCCCAACAGATCGACAGGCTGCCGACCAGACCGGCGCTTTCCGAGCGGCGGTTGCGCTGCTTCACCGCGAAGATACCCATGCCAGCTTCCGGCCGCCGCTCATGGCGTTGATCACGGCTCTGTTCAACAGGTGCCGTGCGCAGGGATTCTCGCTCCCAGAGGCGTTCACGCGCAGGCGGGTGAGGCTGCTCATACACCCGGTGCGGACGACTCAGCCTCGGGATAGTGCCGTGATGCAAGTTCATGCCTCTCTGGGCCACACCGTTGCTCACGTGATCAAGGTCCTCCTTCAGAACCATGGCCTCTACGGGCGAGCGATTCTTGCGCCCCCCGGCCTTCGACCCGAGGACATCAGGACACCGGAAGACGTTAACAGAGCGTTCCCGCTGCGGTACCAGTTGAACCTCCGGGCGTCTGATGATCAGCCTCCGGTGCACGCACTGCCCAGACAGCTCTATGGTTCTGGTTCAGCACCTGCTGGGAGTCTTCCCCGGCACATGTTTCTCGCAGAGTACTTCGATGTGTGCTACAGCGGTCGCGCCGTGCAGCTCGTGCTGGAGTGGCCCGAGGACCGTCTCCTTGCCCACCCCACGTTGCGCCGCGAAACTTGGGAAGGTCTTCTCGAGACTGGGCGGCCGCTGGTTGCTGACGGGGAGAGCATGGATCCGTTTGCAGAGCGATACGCACTGCGTTCTCACACATGCGCCATGTGTCGAGAGCCCCTCTCTTGCAGGTGCGCTGGGATGATTGGCAGGACCGCCCAGTCCCCGCCACCCCCTGGCTGCCCAGATGCGGCTGGCTGCCTCATCAGCCTAGGGCGATGTGGCCACATCTACCACCTGCATTGCGTCCAGCGTTGGCAAGCGCAAGGCCGCCAATTGTGCCCATTGTGCGGGGCACAAACTTGGGAGGAGGCGTACTCTTTGGCGCGTTGCGAGGCATGCTAACTGCACCAACTGCTAAGAGGCACATGACTGGCACATGCACGTGAGTGTCGTGAGTCGTGCAGAGAGACATGCGTAGCTTGGGGGCCGCAAGGGTGGCTCGTTGCCTGTCCCGTTTGGGTTTAGCAGTGTATGGTACAGAGCACGTGTGTGCCGTCGATGCCGAAGCGGGCACTTGTTCGACCGTGAACCCTCACGTGTGGCGAGGTTCTAGGCTGCATGGTTTTGAGGGGACCACTTGGTGGTCGCGGCTTGGCGATGCATGCAAGCGTGTAGCCGGCGCTAGTCGTCGTCGGACCTTCGGCATGTAGTCGCCCGTGGTCAGCGCCCTTCATTTATTTTTCCAGCGACCTAACATGAGTGCTGTGAGCTTGGCGCCTGACTGTTCTTCACTTTCGCTCTAACGAAGATACACATGCGCCAGCAGGAGTCGCTTCGAGGCGACACACACACGTACATAGGCGTGCCCTAGGGCCTACGCGCTGGCAAAGCGGGGCCCGACCCCACCAAGGCTTCACCGCCTGCGCTGACTTCACGTCTCATCCCTGGCGGAGGCGGCTGTAGAGGAGGTAAAGGTGGAGGCGATGTCGGGCGAGCGCCTACTCCGCGAGCGTTGCACGGAAAACTTTCGAATGGTCCTGATCCCCGCTGGCGCCAGAAAATCGTTGAGCACGGCGCTGCCGACTGCAAATGCTGCGATCGCACCCACGAGGATGAAGAGCCCGGACATGCTCGCGAGCGAGATCTTCTCGCTGTTGGCGCTGCTCGGACACGTGTCTCCCAAGCCGTAGGAGTCCTGTGGGGGCTGAGCTTGCTTGAACTGGCGGGTCGGGGCTGGGCATAGTGGCCGGGAATGGTTTTGGTCAGGGCCCGGCCCGCCTGCAGAAGGTCGGAGTATTCGGGCTGGTCGACGAACCACTTGATGGCCTTCGACAGGTTGTTTGCGAGCGCCCGATTGTCCGCTCGTCGATCGTCCATGAACCTAGTGCATACACGCGTTCCACTCGTGAGCCCACCCGATCAGCGGAGATCCTCTACTCGCTGCGTGTGAATGTGGCTCGCGCACAGCGCCCAATCCATCGGGACAATGTTGACGGACGGCACGAGGTGGCGCGTGTTGCAGTGACGCAGCGAATGGAGCTGGAGTTGTGCTTGGATGTAGATCAAGGCGTCCGCCGTTCCGTCATCGAGCGCTCGATCGCAATAATCGACACGAACCTGCTCGCAGTCTGCGAGGCATGCTGAGGGGTCATCCATGAACGGCCCCATGAGGTGGCCCACAAAGGGCCGGATCACAGGCGCCCAGTTCCACCAAGGGATGCAGCCGGTCTTGGTCTTTAGCTGCTGCCGAGATGTTGGGCCGAGGATCTCCTCGGTGGGGCGGATAAAGAGGTTGGCGAGATTGCCGGTATAGACAGCCGCTATGATGTAGAAGAAGAGCAGCAGTGCGAGCCGGAAGAGGCGCGCCGGCCATGACGTCCACTCCTGATCTTCTCCACCAAGGGCAAAGGCCGACGCGCTGTAAAGATTGTGGCACAGCTTGCCAAGGAAACGAAGTGGCGGCCGCGAAGTGCGAGCCGTGATCTGACTCCGTTCCGCCTTGAGGAACACACTTTTTGTGCTCCTCACAAGCCGCTTGTGCTCGAACACGCGCATCGCCACCGCCGACGCCGTCACCACGCCGGCGATGGCCAGCCACAGCGAGGTCTCAAATGGCTCGATGAAGAGCCAAAAGGACTGAGCAGCAATTCTCTTGGCCACCACCATGACCCAGTACGTGGATGCGAGAGGAACCGTCCCGAACACGGACGTGTTTGACCATACCTGGATGGTGTCACTATTAAAGGCGAAGGTTGCATCAGCGTAGCCGTCGTGGAGATCGGCAAACCAGTTGTGCGCGACGCCGATCCCTACACCTGGCCGATTCTCAAGATACTCGACTTCGATCCCAGTCTCCTGGGCGACTCGATCTAGGATGCGGATGAGCAGTCCGCCCATGACACCGCGCTCTGTAGGAGGTATGGGCGGCTCGTAGGTGAACCAAGGCTCAGCGGCGAATGCGAGCGACGTGACTGCAAGACGGCGTCCGTAGCAGCAACGATGCACGGGGCTGCGCGCTGTCTGCGCAGCAGCGAAGGCAACCAGGAGAGCGGAGGGAATGCTCATTGGCACACCGCTAACGAATATGACTGCGCGGCGGGGAGCCGGGGACGTCGTCCAACTATACCGGGTACCGCTCAAGTAATAAGATGTGGGCGCGCCGTCATCGATATGTTCGGCGGCCGTGTCGCGGGTCCAACGGGGCCGTCACACTTCAACCGATTTCCGGGGGACCGGGAGGCGGTAAGCCGTCGTTGCCCGGCGCTGCTTGCAGCACCATGGCGATGACGCTAAGTAAGAGGTTCCTCTTTTCCGCGCCCCCCCCGCAAGGCGCGCGATACAAAAAAAATCCTCAACTCCAAGTGCTCCAACTTCATCGTATCCAAGGCCCAGAGAGTAGATTGGGCTGTACAAGCGGTCTCGCGCACCGCACCCGTGCTCTCCCTCCCCGTCCCGCGGCCCGGCCGTGAGACGCCGATCTACGAATCAAGTTGGTGCCGGGTTGTATCTATGGGCATGGCGAAAGGGTACGCATGAAAACTAAGTCTAAGATCGAAAAATAAGCTGGTACTACGAGAGAGCTCGCTGCGAGCTTTTAGATGGTGTGTTTCACGTCGTGTGGCTCCCAGGGTTTGCCCCCGTTTACACGGTGGGGCCCGGGGCGCTGCGCGCTGGCACCCTGACCGTGGACTCAGCCGCCAGCCCGTCTGCTTCTCTCGCCACGCTCTCCAACTGACCAACTCAACGCGCGCACGCGCTTGCAATCGCGCACCGACACGGACACCTCAGCCGACAATGAAGCAAACGTCCGGCCGCTGCGTTCCGGGCGCGGCGCTGAAACGCACCAACAGCTCTCTCCCTCTCACAAGTCGTCGGGCTGCCCACGCGCCAAGCCGCGCGCCTTCCTGTCCTCGGCGCGCACCGGCGCATCGTCAAAGTTGAGGTCGGCGGTCTTGTACCTGCGTGATGGATAACGCCAGCCTCGGCGCGGGAATGCGGTGCTGTGCAGAGTACTCAGGGCCTCGCATGAATACGAGCGTGTCACAAGTACAGTGAAGACAAGCGTGAAGTATGTGCTTGTGCGTCTTGGGTCCCGGGGTTGTGTTTTTGTGTGAAGACAGCTGAATACGGCCGAACGCAGCGCAGTACGCGCCCTCTCGAGCGCTGGTTGCGACCCAAAGAATGCGCATGCCGCGTCTGGGCGGGCGAGCCAGAAGATGGCGCACCCGCGCGCGGGATACGGGGAGATACGGGGGGATACGGGGAGATCTGGGGAGATATGGGGAGCGGTTCCGCTTCTAGCACGGCGAGCCAGAAGATTGCGCACCCGCGCGCGAGATACGGGGAGATATGGGGGGGATACGGGGAGATATGGGGAGATCTGGGGAGCGGTTCCGCTTCTAGCACGGCGAGCCAGAAGATGGCGCACCCGCGCGCGAGATACGGGGAGATACGGGGGGATACGGGGAGATATGGGGAGATGTTCCGCTTCTACGGCCTTGTACTGCTGGCACCAGTGGGAGTCGGCGTCTTTCCCGCGGCAGTTGTCATGCCAGACCCAGCGAGTGCAGTTCTCGGCTGAGTGTGGAACGCCTGATATGCGAAAGAATGGGGAGATATGGGGAGATGTGGGGAGATGTGGGGAGATATGGTGCAGTTCTCGGCCGAGTGTGGAACGCCTGACGCAGTCACTCGATT